CTGACACTCATGGAGATTTTATCAAGCAGTGTGTTGATCAAGGGAAGGTGAAAGTCGAATGGATTGAGACCAAAGAGAACTTGGCAGACATTATGACAAAACCTTTACCTTTAGAAGCATTTGCATATCTAAGAGATAAGAGATAAGATAATGAATTTAGAGTTTGAACAAAATTAGAAATTAATTTTACTCGAGAACTAATTCTTGGTATGTTTCAGATAAAGAAGAAAATTAGAGGATAAGAGGAAGACCACGGATCGCTCGCACAAAGGGAGGGAGTATGAGGAGCTGAGCTTTGAACGAGCGATGTGCTCCCGCCCTTCGAGAGGGCAGCTCCGGTGTGGCGCGCGCCTCGGGGCGCCACGCGTACGTGCGGTCGTTCGGTCGTTGTGTGAACACACAAGAGCCTCGGCCACCGTTGTGTTCAGACGTGTTGGTTACGGTTTAGTTACAGAGTGTGATATACTTATATATAATAAAGACAGTATTCAGAGTGTATAAAGATCAAGATTGTTGTGTACCCTGCTCATCTCACCACATTTCAAATCGTCCCTGATTATATTTCCAATAAATACCTTGTATTCCCTTGTTGGGTTTAAATATTTTAATAAAATATTTGTATTTTGTACTGTTACCTCTGTAATTCTTCATGATTCAATCTTTTATTCTATTGAAAATAAAGTTTGTATTTAAATATAAATAAAATTTTTTAATTTTATAAAATTGTTATCATACATTCTTTTTCTAATTGACACAATATAAAGATTTGTCAAAGTAGTGCAACAACAATTATTTTTTGAGGCAATATGTTCTCTCTGTAATTGGCGCTGTAATTTAAAGAGATATTATTTCTTTTTTGTAATTGTAAAATAGATCACTTGAAGCGCGACTCATCTTTGATAAGGTAACGTAATTTTGTGATGTGTATCACTTGAGTTATAATTTTTTGGAAATAAAAATACTATTGCTTAGGTTTGTTCAAAATTTTTCGAGATACAAAGATTACGTCTACCACTTGTTACTTATGTTTTTTCGAGGTATAATACTG